CCATTACTTAATGTGATGCGGTCGTTGTTGCTGTTTATTGGTGTTTTCGGGTGCGTCAAGTACATTGCTCATTTTTCGCCAATAACGGTGTTTTTATTTTACTAGTGTAGTGTGAAAGTGACTTGAAAGTCAACATCTTTTAAGAACAAAAAATGTTTGGACTGAAGAAAGGGAAGTTTGTCACCGAGCACCCTGTATTGAAATAAGACACTTGACTGATAAGCGCCTTTTGTGTTTGATTGTGTCAGCCGTCAGTGACATGTGCTGGTCTGTATGGCTCTCTGCCCCGGCGCGAGCGCCTCTATCTGATGTGTGAGTCCATGTGGCCGCCCCGCAGCCGAGGGGCGGACGGGTCTGCCCTCCTGGTGGCCCGGCTGCAGACGGTGTCTTTTCATTGGTGTTCCGGCTGCGGCCGGCCGGGCACCGGGTTTAGCGCTTCTCCACCTGGTGGGAACGCATATCGCCGTCAAACCTTTGCACAGTGCAAAGTACAACCGCGATATTACCATTCAATTACTGGTCATTATATAACCATTCTGCGCAGAATGGTTATATTTTGCGTTCAAGTATAACCATTCTGCGTACTGACCGCGCGACCAACATGGCCGTGGCTATAATTTCACGAACGGAGCTCTGGCTCAAGTGTTAGAACAAAAGGCAGTCATTCGTGCTAAAGGGAAAGAACTTTAGGCGTTTGAATGCATGCGTACATAAGACTTTTAGCTCTAATGAACAGGAAGACGGCATTATCAGAAGGTACCACAGGCGGGAAATCGTTTGGCTTGGGAGTGCTAACACTGCTTTGGTGGGATTTCTTTAGGTGAGCCAGTAGTTTGGTAAACCACGTAGCGCGATTTATTATAGAATATTTAGTTTTTGTCATGTCAGTGGTGAAGCATCTACGTAAACCCATTTCTTCACCATGCCAATTTACTTTCTCCACAATTGGACCTGTCACGAATTTAAAATTATGTTTATGCAGAACGACCGTATTCACACGGTATGCACTCTACATTTTTTTTACTTTTGCGAACTTAAGTACACGCCGATGTAGCGTGCTTTGTTCAAAAGTGAAGACTTTGTGGAGAATTCTGGTGAGAGCTGGTGCCAATTTGCACGCATACCTATTTGTGACTGCAGTCGAGAGACGCCATTTCACATGTTTTCCATCCAGGGTTGAGATATTTCTGCATTCACTCGCTTCCATTGTGAACATTCATGTGACTCAAGCTGTGTTTTCAGGTTTATGCACGTTGCCTGGGCACTCTATGACGAGGAGCTCGATGTGCTTCCCGCCAATTATTCCCGAGAGTTTCCACCCCTGGACTAGTCAATGTGAGTATTTATCATCAGTGCGTCCTTCAGCGCATCCTTCAGTGCGTCCTATCAGTGCGTCCCTCCACCTAACTATTCCCGGGAGTTCTACCCCTGGACCAGTAAAGGTGAGGATCGTCAGTGCGTCCTTCCCTCTAACTATTCCCGGGAGTTCTATCTTTGGAACAGTGAAGGTGAGCATCGTCAGTGCGTCATTCCCTCTAACTTATCCTGAGAGTTCCACCCCTGGACCAGTGTTGGTGAGCATCCTCAGTACGTCCTTCCCTCTAACTTCTCCCGAGAGTTGCATCCCTGGACCAGTGAACTACGGTACCTCAGTACGGACATCAGCTGCCGAACACCCCGCTACCAATGCAGCCAATGCTTGTAAAAAGAACTTGGTCGTCGGGTTGGTTCGTTAGCCCCTGTGAGATGTTCCTGTGGCACTGCAAGACGGCTACGGTTTTATTCCCTTTCCGGACTTTTAACTCACCAAACAGCGTTTACAGTACAGACCTGCGCGCAAAAGACACACACGCTGGGGCATGAATGCAGTTTCAGTCCGTCCATCCTCGCCTCACGAAAGAAAACTCAGAAACCAACTCCGTCGAGCCTCTCACTTCTCATTTGCACTGCAAGCAGACACACGCATCAGCAGCATCATTCATACATTTCGCAACGACGGCTACCCATAAAAGCTTTACTCCAACACAGTCCGGCAAGGCAGTGGGGAAAATGCTTAGGGACAGCGCACTCAAGGGCATTCCACTCAGGGCCTGACTTTCTAAGGAACATAGCCAGTTGATTATCTCTCAATCTGGCCATCATAACTGTTCTGTGCTGTGATGTAGTGTGGAGTTGAGTATTTTTTCTTATGTCCACAAATGTTCCGTGATCTTGTGTAGTGTGTATTTAAGCATTTCTTAACGTCCACAGTCAACATATGCTCTGTTGTTGATGATGTTTACATAATTTACGCCGCGGTCGCGATTTATGATGTGTCTCATAGACCCGATCGGCAGTTGGTGTTCACCCAACGGCGTATTGTCATCCAAGATAAAGGTGACATCATTTTGGTCTGTAGGAGTCTGAAGTCAAGGTGTTTTGTGTAGGGTCACGTATGAATCAGCTAATCGAGGGATCAGAACTTATATAGACAATGCTTGAGTCAGTCTGTGAAGTTTTAAAGGATCGTGCCTGCAACTGAAAACATGGGCAGCTGAAATTCTCAACATTTCATTGCGCTTTGTAAATGTGTCATTGCGATGACACATTTACTTTGTGACGAGTTTTGTCCTTGCTCAGCGATAATTTTGTAACCTTCGGTGTTTGCCCGTGCGTGGTGGGAGGCGAGTACCAACTGGTGATACCCTTTTAGACAATTTCGCTCCGGCTAAAGATAACGCTGGAACTGACGGCACTCCAGACGTTCATCTTTGGGAATCATGACGTTTTCTTGTTCAAAGAAAAATATAATTGCAATGTTTTTTGGGAGGTACATTTTAATTGCTTTTTGGAAACCTTTGGTTAGTCTTTTTTGGAAAATGACCATGCACTGACTTAAGTGTTCAAAGGTTATCACGCACTGAGACAACACACAGCTGACATAAGCCATCGAAAGGCCCTGTAACAAAACTGTAGCGCGGTGCGGCCTCGGCGCGACATTCCGGACCAACTGACCTGGTGTTCGTGTTCCCAGGCTACGAGGGCACGCTGGACATCAAGGTCTACCTCACCATCGTGAGCATCTCTACGATCGACGAGGAAAAGTCGGTGAGTGTATTGCCATGCTGAACGGACCCAGGTATTCATAGGCGAAGAGCGTTTCGTGTTGAGTCCGCGTCACAGCTGGTACATAAAACACCATATAGTTTATAGTCGTTAACAAAACTGAAGCAAGTGTTCGGATGTAAATGACGGAACTATTATAGCACCGGGCGACTGGCAGCTTGCGCATACAAGGCAGCGAAGTGTTGTAAATGGTCTCTTTAAATTGATAACTTGCTGATGGTTTCTTCTCTGACTGGTATACGGTTTCCCCACAGAGCGGTTTTTTAACAGTTCAGGGAGGCGGGTTGGTGAGGGGGGGGGGAGGTTAGGGGTTACAACTTCTCCTCAACATTTTGCTTGTCCCACCGTAACTTGTGACTGCTCTATTGAACATGGAATGTGAGGCGACCTGAACATTTTGACTTTACGCCGTTTGGGGAAGACACGCAACCAGGTGGGGCGTCAAGCTCCTTACCTCATGGAGTTGTGCGATGACATATGGAATTATATTTTAAGTGCCTTCCCCACTACAGCGATTTTGAAGGTGCGCACATGGGAGTTCGGGTTCATGCTCGTGTGGCATCGTAATGCATAACGTTTCTTTTTCAGTCTATTCACATGTCTCTCCTGATACGTTCAATTTGGACGGATCCCCGCATCTTATTGCCCAAAGGTTAGTCATGGTCGTGCTCATCAGGCGTGTGTATACATTAGCACACCATCAGCGTGAACTCCCTGTGGGAGAAACAACCAGGAGACCTTTAGTTCTGGTGGTAGAAACAACCAAGAGACCTTAAGTTCTGGTGGTAGAAACAACCAGGAGACCTGATTGTTTCTCCCCGCGGTAGAAACAACCCGGAGACCTTTAGTTAAAATGCCGGTTAACGATAATGCTGCCCTAACTATACCTTGACGCAGACTGGAAGCTAACCTCGTCTCCATGCGGAAATTCTTTACACCAGCACAGTGCGGCTTCAGTTTTCGCGCCACGCCATTCTGACGTTTCAAAAATGCTGCAACACGGCGTGCAAACGCTGAGAGGAAATGGCGGGTCGAACAGCTAGGGGAAGTCGCACGCACCAGGGATACGGCAATCCTTCTACGGTGCCATGACGACGCGTTGATATTAAATTGGGATGAGATTATATAATAAATGATAATTACAGCCTGAGAACCCGACAGCTCCTGCCTTTTCCAAATAAAGTTAGCACGGGTTGGTCTCGCCCGTGCACCGCGAGGGACAACCAGCCACTAACAGTGACTGGATCGCAGGCATGGCGGGGGACGCGCACCTCTCGTTCTCGCCGCTGCTGCGTGAGCGACTATGGGTGCCCGACCTACTCTTCGTCCACGCCACCTCCATCCGCCAGCTGCAGCTGTACACCCCCAGCGAGGCTCTGCAAATCTACGCCAACAACACCGTCTTTCTGTCCTCGCTGTAGGTCAAGCTCGTGCGACGCGTCAGGCCGCCTCGCTTTCGAATGCCATGTTGCTTGGCGCTCTGAATAGCCGAAGCATACGAGTTTCCCCGACCATTCACTTGATCTTGGCGCTCTACGTAAAGCAGAATCCTCGAAATGTCTTCGAGATGTAGGGTTACAATCTATAATGGTCTGAGCATTTCCAAATTACCTTTATCGGTTTTGAGACGTGAGACGTGATGTCCTTTATGCTAGTTTTGGGGAGAGAGTGAGTTGCTGCGTGCATCAAACCGCTGACAATTGTTTACCAATGCGCTGTGTGCACCTTAATTACTGGTGCATCACCACCTACATGAGTGCGTACCTGACACCACACCTGCAGTGCCCCTGACTTGTTGGGCTCTGCTTCCAGGATGCTGGTGGAGTATACTTGCCCTATGAAGTACATGTCCTATCCTCTGGACCGGCAATCCTGCGACGTCTTCATGGAGAGCAGTGAGTGTGTGACGTGTTCACCTGTGAAGTCAATATACTGTGCACCAAGACCTAACAATTTCAGTAAGCTGTCGGGCCTGCGCGGACACGTGAGTGGCATGCAGTGCTTAGACTGAGTAGGCAACAAAGGCCAAGTGTAATCTTATCAATATTCACTGTATAGAGACTCTTCAACATAGAGACCCCTGAGAGGCTTGAAATGAAATGAAATGACAGCACACGCCCATTACCTGCCCATTCATTCGCTGCATTCGCATGCCTTGCATCCAAATGTAACACCGTAAGACATGCCTTGGAGCGTCGCGCCAGCTTAGTGCTCCGGCCACTTAGCGATATTGCCCCTAATGCCAGCATACTGGGCGCTTGCAGTGCGGTGGTAAAGCCGTACATGTTGAAGACAACGGGTGCGGGTTCCATTCGGCGCTGCGTCCACGCTGCCTGCCATTTTTTTTATTGGAATTCGTGACGTAAGGATAGTCGACTATACTGATCCTTTTGCGTCATCAAGAAATAGTCAACATACTGTGAGTAAAATCACGCGATAAAGTTAAGTCACGTTAGGGGGATAAATGACAAGTACGATTGAGATAATAATTAAGCGCTCTAATGCGGGAATGCAGCTACACGCATATGAAATTATGGGGACAATGATGCTGGATGCCTGTAAGTCAAGAGGAAGTCAACGCTGACTAGAAATACTATGAGACGTTGCTCTTGGCAGCATTGAGTTTCTCCAACCAGCTGTGGAAAGGTCGCTGCCTGGAAGCATGTAATTCCAATTTCATCGTATTCACAACAAATAAGCTTGAACCAGTATGGGCTCGACCGTCAGCTCTTTCCGCACTCATTACACGCTGAGGCACGCTGGGCAGCCAGGAGAAACGAGTGGGTTGCGTGCGTATGACCCAGTCGCAGCATCCGAACAGCAGCATCTTCCCACCTGTCCTTACGCTGTAACACCTTTCACTTACAAATGGGACGTTTCAGCTCGACGAAAGAGCTATTCATGGCATCCCATCTCCTCCGTCTTATAGAGCTTCGCCTCTGTCGTCCTCTACGCGCACACTCTGAAGGGCTTGCTGGAAGCCACGGGCTTGTGTTTCGATAGGAAGAGGGCAGCCGTGGCGAGCCGTCACCTTTGCTACCGCGGCTGCGCTTTCGTTTCGGGAACTGAATGGAAATTCCAGCATGAATGGCAATTCACATAAACGTAACACAAATACCGCGATCGCTCGCAAGTCGGAACTCGTCCCAGGCTGGACAGACCAGATGGGAGTGGCCGCTTGACTCGAGGAATGGGTGTAGAGATAATGTGCTGAGGTCATGGAGCCAGGTTGGATCAGAGGGTTTTTGCAACCACATTGCAAGAACTGTAACACTGCAGGAATTGCAAACAGCCAAGTCGAAATCACAGTCATTAAAGTATGTAGACAAAGTTTCTGAGTGACGTCACTAGAGACGCAAGCGCACCCAGTCCCAGCAGTGACATTCGAAACATCCGTGAAAATCTTCAGAGAGCCGTCGCACAAGGAGATTCGTTCCGCGGCGTGCTGCACAAATTCCACCTCGGGTGCGGATGATATGTTGTACTGGCGTGGGTTGAGGTTGTCCGCTGACCGTGCGAGTTTCCACGATGTTTGATGCTAATCTGGGACAATGTCGTCATACGTCAGTCTCCCGAAGCCAGTCTCCCATGCGCAGACATATCGGCCACGATCAGCGCTTCCGCTCACAAAAAGGAGCGAATGAGCGAACGCGGGAACGACGCGTCATGTCGAGGGTCAGTCAGGGCCTGCGCTACTTTGACCGCGGGATTCAACGCAAGTCCCTTACGCCTCAGATCCAGGGGCGGCTCGCTATTGGAGCGCTCGTGGCGTCGCTAACCGGGAGGTTAGTACCATACAGATGACGTGTGGGTTTCCTGCTTGTTTCCTACGCAGACATAACTGTATGCAGTGGGGTTTGCGGTCGAGAAACGGAGCCCGTTTGCCGTTCTTCATCACCATCTTGTCCAAACACACTTGCTAACAAATATTTTAAACAATGACAAAGTTGAGACAAACAACACAAAACAGACATGTATCCAACTACACGTGCCACCCGATATTTTCGGCTGGTAGGAGCCTGAATAAATGGATGCAATTACAAACAGTCCGATAATTTTTACAACGGTTCGTGTTTTGTCTTGGCCGTGTTGCTGCACACAGCATCAGTCGTATATTCCGATGACTCTCTGTAAAGCCCAATGCCTAAGATAATTGCGCACGCCGGCAGCACGGTACATTAATTATGTTCAATAGCTTTACCAGCCATATTACTTATGCGTGACTGGTGTCACTTTAGAACACAATGCGGATGTTAGCAAATTTCACAACCTAGTTGTAATGGCAGTTTACACGAAAAATTACCGCGCAAAACTTTTCAAAGCTTTTAAAAAACACTTTCGTCGTTTCTGTTTTACCGCACGCTTCTTATAAGCGATTTTCGGCTAGAAATGTGTAGCAGATACTTAAAAACATGTTTATAAAGACGCATAACTTGATAAAATTCCGGTTGGCTGTCTGTAAGCAAGGTCGGCTTGTGTGGATAGGTATGATGAAAGGCCTCTCCCTTCCGAAATATTTCAAAACCCACTTAAGCTGCCTCGCTGCGTACAGTACCGATGTAAACAATAATGGTGCAGCCAGCATTCAGCGCCCTCGACTGATTTACATTGCTGATTGCCAAGCCTAGTATTTTCCTACAATTTGGTTGAACTAAAAGGCATGGGCTGAAGAGCTGTTACACGGGTATTTCCTAATGCCACAAGCTTGTTCTTGGTTGGATATGCGTGGGTTGCCTAATGGATTATCTATTGCATGCTAATGGAACTGCATGAGAACACGATCCCTTGTCGGAGTGTTTGTCATCCACTAAAACTTCATAAAACATATTACAACTTTGGGTGCAAAGCAATACCCTGTGAGGAGGAACTTTTCACTCCTTTTCCCCATATTTGATGTGATTTTACACTTCTGCCTGGCATTGCCTTATCACACATGTCAAAACCCCTATTTCCCTTTCCGAGGTTTTCAGATGTCATCCAAAACCTAGCTTACTTGAAACCACCAAGAATAAACGAGGCTCCACAGAACCTGGACACCTGGGGCTAGGTCCTGCCTCACCTACAACAGAGCAAGGGCGCCAGGTCCCTCTCAAGCCCAAGAACCCCAGCGACTCCAGCCGCTTGGACGCATTAAGTTTTGCTTGTTTACAAAATGCATTACGATGGGCAGCTGTATGCCAAATGCAAGGTTTTCCCGGATCCCATATATATATATATATTTTTTTTTTTGTCTCACCACCACACCACGAAAGCGGAGCCTGGTGCAAACACCAGGAAGGCTTATTAGAGAATTTTGCTCCACGTATTTCTTCTTTCCTGAGGAAACTTGTCCACTAAATTGCATCACTCCCGAAATGTAGGAGTGAAAAATTCAAGAATTGTCTTCTAAATGAAGTTTAAAAGATGAATATCACGATTTGAGCACTCATGTTAATAGATTTTAAGTCAAATCAGCTGATAACAAGTGTTTCCAAAAAGTATGAGTTTATATATTTATTTAACAAGTTTTGTTTTTCTTGGTATCATACGAGTGTGATACCACTTTATTCTTCCCTCCTTTCCCATCCCCTTTAGAGGTACCATTGTTGCTTAAAATGTGGACCAACTTCTGTGCAAGATGTTCCAACGGCAGACTTGCACGTATTTCATACATGAATTGGATCAATTCGCCAACCGCCCAAAAATGTTTGAAATGCACCCAAGGGTGAACAATTTACAGGAAATGAAGAAGACAATTTGAACCACGAAACTTACTTTTACCGCCATTTTGCCCTGTTAAGCCCTCGGTTAGTCGTTTTCTTGGTTCATGGCGGTGCTTGATATTTATAAATCTAGCCTTCCGGGTGTCTAACTCACCAGGCTACCTGACAAGGCTGTCCTCATGCTGCCATATAGAGCTTTGGGGACAGACCTGACGCAGCTACTACAGAAATGTTTGATGGCAAAATTCTGTCCTCCGGAAATGTTTATCATGCACACCTCTTACTTGTTTCGCATTTTAATCTCGTAGGTTGGTAGACATGATTGATATTTATATTTGGGGGTGAGTGGGATGACTGTCTGTCAGCAAACTGTGCGAAAGATACTGAGTTCGTTTTGGGGGGAGGAAGGAGGTGTGCCCTGAAAAAAGCCAGTAAGTATTTTATGGAGCAAGTAATTGCTTACCTTACCTACTTCAGCACATTATTTATGACCGGAGTTATCCATTTTCTGTCTTAACCCATCGATTCTCGGCATAGTACAAATTATGTTGCCACAAGGCCTAAATAGATGCCTTTGCTGCAGCTGAAAAGGCAAGCAGCAATACTGGCATGGTCATTCAAAGGTTATGTTACTTTTGGAGAAGAGAGATTGTTTTGTGGAACATATTTGTTGAGCATATTCTACACATTTTTGCCATTGACATAGGTTAACCATGACAATCAAAATAAGTTGTTCAAAGTTATTGAAAGTGTTTTTCAAAGTGCTACTTTCATGAAAATAAACATTGGCATTTTGGAAGAAACAATGACAAAATGCTTGTTTTCCTTGACTCCATCTTAACAGAAGCCAGAGGTGTATCTATTGTGTTTGACTTGGTGATATGCTGATGTGTAGGAGTCCAATGTTTTGTTTGAATGCTTCATGCTTTTCGAATTTTCTGTTGTTATTCTGTTGTCGAATTCCTTTGCTTTGTTTTGTGTTAAAAATGCTGTGGAATGGAAGTGCAAAGTGCAGCATCAAATTATTGGTGTTAAATAACTGTTATGCCCATTACACTGTCATGAAAATTGTTATGCGTGTATGTATTGTTTCACTTTAATCGCCTAAGATGCTAAGAAATAAAACAGTTTTGTCAGGTTTAGGATATTACATCCATGCCAACTTGAAATAAATGCCTTTGTTGCCGAAGCAT